ACACGGGCCGGTGTGTGTTGGCGTCAGTGACGTTAACAAACACCTTGGCGGTGTCAAAGCGGGTGCCGTCGCTCGCCGTGACAGTGAGGACGTACTGGCGTTCCAGTTTGTAGTCCAGAGGCAAAGCCAGCGTAATGAGCCCACCCCCGCTCTGGCTCGTGATGGAGAATCTGTTGCGGGTGTTTCCACTCGCGATCTGATACGTCACCACGCTGTTGATGTCCTGGTCCACAGCTGACACGGTCACCACGCTGGTCCCCACGGCCGCGTCTTCATTTAGTCTCATGTAATACGCCTTCTGCGTGAACTCTGGGTTGTTGTCGTTGACGTCCAGGATCGTCATGCTGATGCTGGCTGAAGATGACATGACGGGGTAGCCGTGATCACGTGCCTCCACTCCGAAGTTGTAAAAGTCCACGCTCTCCCTGTCCAGCTCGGCTGCGACTACAATCCACCCCGTGCTGTTATTGATGGAGAAAGGGAAGTTTGGTGTGGTTTCAGTGAGCCGATACTCCAGCCTGGAGTTTTCTCCAGAGTCTGCATCGACAGCCTGGATGTGGATGATGGAGTAACCCAGCGGCACATTTTCCAGCACGGTGGCCTGGAATGGCGTGCTGACAAAAATGGGGGCGTTGTCGTTAACATCCAGCACCTGCACCGTAACCAGGCCGCTGATGTTGGACAGCGGTGGGCGTCCCCCATCCTGAGCTCTGATTCTCAGCGTGTATTCTTTGTTCGCCTCATAATCCAGGTGGCTCACCAGGTCCATTTTACCTGTCTGGGCATCGATATAAAACTGCCCGCGGGTGTTTCCGCTCATGATGCTGAAGTGAACGACAGCGTTGCTCCCTCTGTCCTGATCTGTTGCGGTGACCTGCAGGATCTCTGTGTTAGGGGTCATGTCCTCGGGCACCTGGACCACGTAGCGCTTTTCACTGAACTGAGGAGCGTTATCGTTATCATCTTCTACCACAATGTGAACAGTAGCTGTGGCGCTGCGGGGCCCGGGGTCACGACCTTGGTCATTCGCCTCAACTAACAGCATATAGGCTTCCACCTCTTCTCTGTCCACCAGCCCCTTGGTGCGAATTACGCCAGACCTGGAATCAATCTCAAACACATCATTGGACCCATTATTGTTGAGGATGTTATATAGGATGTTCCCATTAATGGGGGCATCTCCGTCTGTCGCCCTCACTGTTAACACCTCATAGCCTATTTCTAGGTTCTCCCTGATACTTTCCTTATAGTCCTGTTGCTCAAACACAGGGCTGTGATCGTTAGTGTCACTGACTGTGATAGTGAGTGTGGCCATGGCTGTGCGCCGGGGTGTGCCGTGGTCCACTGCGGTCACACGAAACACATGGGTGTCTTTTGTTTCCCGGTCCAGCACTTCTACTGTAGACACAGCACCGCTGGACGGGTCCACAGCAAAAAGATGGTTCGAGCGGCTGTCAAAGAGAGCTTCAATAAAATACTCCAGCCTGCCTGCCTCGCCTTCATCCACATCCACTGCTTTCAAAACAACAACAGGAGTCCCGGCGGGCTTATTCTCTGCCACAGACACTTGATACATTGGTGGTTGAAACTGGGGGCTGCTGTTGATGCTTCTTCTACTCCTGCTTAAAATCCCTGAATCAGACTGAGCTGCCCTTTGTAACAGCTTCTCTATGTGACCCTGCCTAAAGGGGCCCTCTCCCACACGCCAGTGGATGGAGATGGGACTGACTTGAACATTCAGCCCACTACCTATGAGTACATCACAGAGGACGTCCAGCTCCAGGAGAGTGTCCTGCCTCCAGCACAGCTTCTCAGACACAAACAAGTTCCCTTCGTTGAAATAAAACTCACGGCTGTTGGTGACTTTGCAGCGGATCGGAGGGCCAGGCAGTAGACCTCCCACTGGGAATAGAGCAGAATCTGCTCGGTGGCACTCTAAGCTGTGATGGCTGTGGGTACTGAACAAAGTGAGGACCTCCATGTCCCACTGAGGTTTTCTTTTACGCGTGTTTGAACAGTTCCTACCGTGTACATGCACCTGGTACTGGCTGGTGAGGAGGTGCCTGTAGCCGGAGTCCGCGCAGTCCTCCACGGTGTACAAGGTGAAGGGGTTTGAGCGCAGCGAGGGGCACTTTATGGAGCCCGAAACAAACACGATGCCCGCTACCGCGTCAGTCTCCAGGAACCCCACAGTGAATTTTGGAGCCAGCACCTGATCCAGAGTGCACCGCGCGCCCCGCTCCGCGCCGGCCACCACCGCGCTCGCTCCGGCATCCTCACCGATGTGTACAACGTAACAGCGGATCAGTGGGACCAGTTTACAACAGCAGAGTAACAGCAACAAATCCCATTTAACGAAGTGCATCGCTCCTCAGTTTGTGCGCCCGTGTGGCGAATTCTGCGGCCCCTAATTTCTTTAAACTTTCCACCGGTAAGTTTCCCTTTGTTGAAGAAGAGCCATGCTCTCAGCGGGCGCACTCCTCTCCGCTCACTCCGGCTGACGTTTTTAAGAGGTTAACCCGCAGTAACCTTGGCCGGAGCTGCACTCACATCCACACAAACGCACACACACACACTCACACACGCCGGCTACAGCAGCAGCAGCAGCAAAACCTCCGCTCCGTCCGCGCAACTCAGCTTCAATGAGAAAAATGGCTTCTGCTCCCCCCCCAGTGTCTCCAGGCTCCTCATTATAATAAACCTGTGTGTGTGAGAGAGAAAGAGAGAGAGAGAGGGAGAGAGAAGCTCTATAGGGGTCTGAGGACTTGACAGAAAGCCTGCCACTGGAGATAAATGGAAACTTCCCATAAGCGTCATTAATTAACGCAGAACAACAGCAGCAATTCAGAGTCGGATTAAGGAGTTCATTAGACAACATTCAGTTCATTAGTATAGTATTAATGCTGCACTCACTAATAACAATTAAGAAGAACCGTTTTGATCACGCCCAATACCCACCACTCACCTCCGGAATGGTTTGGCTCATTAACCGGTCGGAATTCCTTAAATTGTGGGTTTTGGCTGACCTTGTTTCAACCCAAGATAAGTTGCATTCTCGGGCTCGTGTTAAAAAGAGGAGGATTACATTTCAGCTACATTCAAGTCATCTTTGTTTAGCGGCTGTTTTCTTCAGATCCACTAATTCCCGTGCTTTGTTTCCCCGAAGGCTTCATTCACCTGCTCTTACTTAAAGAGCAGTAAAAGCAACATCCGAGTACCAGTAGAAACACACGAATCACAAGAGGCATTCGTGCAGATAGGCTCCAGAAGTTAGGAACTTTTCAATTTACTCAAATATTCAGAGCAACACATATTAATCTAAAGCGATGATAACAATATTCAGTTTGGGTGCGGAGCAGCAAGGCGCAACTTTGGACTGAAACTCGGCGCTTCGCTGATGTTCTGAGTGCGCCTGACACCTGCTGGGCAAACTGCAGCCACACAGCCAAGAGAGGATCCTCCTGCAAGCTCGCTCAAAACTGCTCATGTTCATGTCTGCTTGTTGCTTCAGTGAATGAACACGTAAAAAATAAATAAATCCGTTTTGACACAGCAACATAAATAATGAAATGACAGCATGATGGGAAGTGTCTCAGCACAACGTCCATGCAATTGTCAGTGCTGAGTTTTCTAAGACCCTGTTGGACTTATTGTAGACAAACAGCAACGAAAATAGTGTTTTATAAAAGATGGCACACTAAATCTAGCCAATTCCATAATCTAAAGATTATGCCCGTTTCAGCTCCGAAGGGAACGGCACCATCACACCTTAATGTCTGTTGACCAGTTGCCCTAACATCTCATGTGGTGAAGTCTTGGTTTCGTATCTCTCTGCAATTTGCATACCAACCAAATCTGACAGTGGATGATGCAGAGCTCACTCCCAGAAGTGAATGTCCTGCGAGGACCAAGCTCTCCTACAGTCCTACAGTGCATTCACCATCTTCAGACTGCTGCTATTGAGGGAGACACTGCAAGCGATGACTGAGCAGTCCTCTGTCTTATGTTGATGGGTAGTAGTGGGAAGCATAACCGATGGGCTAAAGGAGGCGTACAGAGCACTAGGGGATGATTTTGTTGGCTAGTCTGAGAGAAATCTAAATGTAAACAACACTAAAGAGATGGTTGTTGTTTTTCAGAAGGAAGAGGGTGGCGGAACACCCATGTCTATCCTGGCACAGGATGTTGATGTTGTGGAGGTGGACAAGTACCTGAGCGACCAGCACAGATGGTGACTAACAGGCTCTGTGTCGTAAGGACAATGACATCCTTCAGTGTGTGCAGCAAAATGTTGGAGATCTTCATTCACAACTCAGCTGTGGTGGGCTTTCAAAGAGCTGACACAATTAGACTGGTCTGATTGGCTACAAACCTGTCACTTTTGAAGGTGTGGCGGAGACAAGGTCCCTGATCAAGGGGGTATCCATCGTTCCTTTGCATCAAAGGCAGAGGGCTAAAACAATGATTGGGATCAGGAATATGAATCCAACTCATGCTATATTGCACTCAAACTTGACTGCTAATTTTACAAGCTAAACCATTTTAGGCCATCACGACATCAGATTTTACAGGATGATACTGTGTTTTTACAGGACAAGGCTGTAAAATCACAATGACACTGCTACAATAAATACTCACAGTTTGGTATTATTTTTAGCAGATGAAGTTATACAACTTCAACTATAAGCTACATACCAAAAATCATAAAATGCTTTTAGCCTATCAGTGCAAATAGCTCCTCGATATTCATTAATGATTGCATTAGCAACAATCAAGCTAACTTTACCCCTGTTAGCAGACCTACACTTTCACACACGCGCGCTTTATCTCACGTTGGTGAACACACTCCGATGGATACACTGGGGTCCCCAACGACACTTGATACATTTTACACGTAGACTGGAATAGCTGTGAAATCGATCCTCCAACCGCTGTACCACCTGAGCCACAGCCACCCAACCATCACATTCATACAAAGGAATGAAATTAAAACAAGCAAGTAGCTTTTTACAATTTTTATTGTTGCTGGAGGCTCTAATACAATATGAGTCATAAGCTTTACAAAATAAAAACAAACAAAAAAAATACAACAAAGATTCCCCTCCAAAATGGAAACAAAGGTTTCCACTGTGACACCAAGACAAACTGTGACCCCCAACAAAGACATAATAGGTGAGGATAGAGAAGACGTTAACAGGCTGAACAAAGGGGAAGCAAACTGTCATGTTATACAGTGTGTGTGTGTGTGTGTGTGAGGGGAGTTGATTATGACGAGGGTGTACCTGGCGATAATAACAGTCCATCCCTATGTTTGAGAAGTTTTCATTTCCACCCTCTGCAGCTCCACAAAGGCTCTCATGCATGTGGACAGAGTGGAAATAAAGTGTAAAAACGTTCTTGCTCACACAGAAAGGCCGCCCTCGTCTTTGCACCGTTTATATCACCCAGAAGAATAACCACTCGATATACATGGACAGTTTTAATTCTATACAAATATATTTGGGTTTGGGTCAGGTGGGGGGGGGGTGTCATAGGAAAAAAAAGATAGATGCAAGAATATAATTTGATGAACATAATGACACCACTGCCAAGCCTCCACCACCTACTGCACAGTCTGTGTCCTCGTCACAGAGGAAGAGCAGGGCCAGAGTCGCTCGTTACAAATCGACTGAGGACATATCAGCTGTGAGAACATCAGGGATTATTATTAGAGTGACCCTTGAGATTATCATTAACCGTGGTAATACTATCATATTCATAACATGGGAGGGAGGGGGGGGGGGAGAGAGAGAGAGAGAGAGAGAGAGACAGAGAGAGACAGAGAGAGAAAAAAAGAGGGGCGAAGACAAACAGAGCGTGAGTGAATGGCTTCATGGCAGATGAGATGCATGAAAACAACCAGACAAAAAAGAAAAAGAAAAAAAAAAGCTAAGCATTTCTCCTTTTTTATTTTTCCACAAATAAACAAGAGTGCAGCACTGAAACAGGCATGGAGGAAGAGACATAAAGAAACAGAGAAAAGATGGCAGGGATGAGGCAGAGAGAGAAACAGAGAGACAGAAGAAAACAACAGTAGCATCTCTAGCTGTTATGTTTGCGTTTGAGCGCCTCCATCAGGTCGACCTTCAGAGCATCCTGCTTTGACTTGTCAGCCAGAGTCTGCACACTCCTGTGTGGAGGAGACACCAAAAAACAAGGTGAGAAAAGTCAGTGGGAGCAAAAAAAAAAAAAAAAATCAAACAAGAAAACATCAAAGGGCTCGAAAAAGTTTCTCCAGTGAGACAGAAACACTCAGGCTGTAGGAAATTTATTAGTAACAATTCAAGTCTTCCTCTCTGTGGGGAGACCTTTTTTATGTCTCACCACAGAGAGATTTCATATGGTTATGACAACATGTTAGCTGTTTACACACTGCACACATAACCACCCGTTAAAGTCAGTTGTCGTCATGCAGTTGCAGCTTTATTATGACCCTGACAAATTTATATTTTACACTCACCGAACACCAAACCTCTTCAACTGCTCTTTAAAGTAAAAACCTAAACGAGCCAATCACATCACAGCAAAGTTGGAATATTTTATAAACCCCTGATCTACCTGCACAACCATCTCTAGGGTTTACAGAGAATAATGAAAAACTAAGAGATAAATAAGACAATTCACAGACTGTTTTGAGGTGACAGGAAGACAACAGTAATTCAAATAACTACTCATTATGACCAAAGTATGCAGAGGAGCCTCTCGGAACACACCACAGTCTACCCGAGTACTATTACTGGCAAAGTCCATCCTTTTATAACCACAGTGTACCCATCTTCTGGTGGCTGCTTCCAGCAGAATAACACACCATGTTGCAAAGCTCAAATCATCACACAATACGTACACAGTCACCAGATCTCAATCCAATAGAGCACCTATAGGTCGTGGTGGTCACATCATGTATGTGCAGCCAGCAAATCTGCAGCAACTGTGTGATGCAATCATGTCAACATGGACCATGCCACAAGACTTCAAGCAAAAAAGTGGTGTCCTACCCAGCAGTAGCAAGGTGCGCCTAATAAAGCCTCCGGGTGAGTGTATGTGAACATATCCACTTATTCTGCCTTCTTCTGAAGATCCCACCCCGTTAATCATCCATTTCCTGTTTTCATTACAGTGCTGTGCTTTCACACACAGTGTTTTCAGTGCTACACGCTGAGTAAACACGGCATCGTAGAAAAACCTTATTAGGGCAGCAAAGTGCAAAACAACACCCGGGTGAGTCATTTGAATACTCTGACTTGGTTAGTATGCTACTCTGTCAGAAATCAGCTGTTGAACACAAAGATACCGGTAAACAAAACTTGCAATACAGCCTTTTGATCTTCAACACTACACGATCATTCAAACTTCTAACAGTGCACATACGTAAACAATTTGAGGGGGGAAAAGGTGCTTTAATTTTTTTTCTGTACATATCTTCATTTCCCTTTGAATGTCAGCCTTCACTCTTAACAGCCTGTTCCTGTTTTTACATTTGCTGCTCTACTTCCCCATGAAACCTCTTTCACTGCTGTTCCATCCGATCAAAGACTAACTCTCCCAGCAAATAATGATTAACAGAAACTGTAAGGATCAATTGTCAGTGTTATTGAGGTTATGTCGTAAACCTTAAGACAAAGATAGACACACCCACATAGACAAACTTCTCCATGCTAGGTTGTACCTTTGACCCCTTCTCAATGGAGGTCTGTCGCTGGGTGAGCACCTGTGACAGCTCCTTTTGGAGCTGCCAGTACTTTTGATTGTCACGCAAAGACTCAATAGATCTGGAGCACAGAGGGGAGAGGCAGCAAGGGAGGAGAGGTGACAGAGGGATTAAAGAGGAGGAGAGACACTGATAGTGGAAATGTGATACAAAGGGCAGCAACAAAAAAAAAAAAAAAGGACAGGAGCAGTTGAGGAAAGGACTGAAATGTTCGAAGCAGTTGTGACAGAACTGTATTGAGTGACTGTGTTTTTTAACAATGAAACACCCATCTCCACGGTGACGCCGTTTAAGTTTAGTACTAATTCAGGACAATGCACAACAAAAACAGTTTATGAAAAAACGCTATGTTGATTCCACATATTTTGTGGACTTGAATGTCGCCTACTTTGTAGACAGGCTACTGTAAGCATCATGTTGTTGTGGAAAATGATTAATCTACTGTGAAATGAACTGAAAGCATGTACCACGTAGCCAATGTTTGTGGATTATGAAGAATCGATTTGAAGAATGAAGAACAAGATTTGTTTTGCAGCCGTTTTTTGCGGCCAATAAACAAATGGATCTTGTGTCCTTGGAATAACTGCATCAGCGAGGAATCTTTTGTGGCACCAGCAGTTCCTCTGTGGGCACCGAGAGTTTCACTAACCTGGCTGTCAAAAGGTCTCTACAATCTGTTGAGTCCTGAGCTGCATCAGCTGCTAATGATGATGGCTTAAAAACGTTCAAGGAGTTTGTGACGTAATCGGGTTTGTTCTACACACGGTCTGATTTACACTTGTGCAGTGAATCTTTGCCTACAACATCACGATTGGCCTTCATTCTAGTGTGTTTTGCAAATTACCTTGTGGTCATGTCCAAGTGTTTTATGCGATAGTAATAAACGAAAAAATTGAACTTTTCTGTCTTCTGGGTCTCTGCTCTTTGTTGTGATCAGTGATTGTCCTCTATATTGAGACTATGATTATTATTCCTTATAAAGAGACAATTATTATTCTCTTACTGATAAATTCAAACACTGGGGCAAAAAAAAAATGCATAGGAGGAATGCAGTAGGCCAATCTCAATAGTTTCAGGATGCTTCAATGCAGCATGTAGTTACATTACCAGAAAGATGCACATCAAATTATGGCGGATGTTACATTGTGGGTTTTCAGAGGGATCTTCGGTTATATCACACGTACGAAAGTATAAAGCCCCTGTAAGCCACTCATTGAAATTGGGGTGAAACACAGCTAAACCTCAGTCACTCACAGTGTTGGTGATTTGAACCACACTTTGGAGCAGTGCTTCCAAAGATCTGCACTTTATAAGCTTGACACAGCGTCAGTATCGAGCATCCATCTCTAGGCACAGGGAAGGAGCAGGTATAGTGAAAAGAAGACGAAATGCAGCTGAGACGAGGGGCAGCAAAAGCAGACTCAAATAATCAGATACAGGGTTGAGACTGAAACACAGGAGGCGAGACAACATCTGTCGTCTGAGCTGCTGACTGGAAGTGCTGTGGAAGAAAACATGATCCCATGATGTAGAGAGCTAATGCAGCAGTACCTCAGGCCGTTGACGATGTCCTTGGTCTTCCCAAAGTAGATTTCATTCAGTGTGGAGCGGATCTTATTCTCCATATCCTAGAAAAACAATATGAATGCATTATAACTGCTAGCTCTATTCTTCTATTTGATTCTTAAAAGCTTGACTTCGTGAACATGGAGTTGTGTGACAGCGATGTAAAGTATGACAGGTTTTGTAATGTCCCGTGTGGCGAAGGGATTTTCCTCTGCTGAATGTGAAAAAACAGTAAATCAAGAGTGAAGAATGAAGCACTCACCACCACTGTGACTGTGACTTACTGTCTATGATGCATGTTAAGGATTTTACTTGTGAACTGCTTATGCAAAAAAAAAAAAGTCCCCAAAAATATTCCCGCAGAACCTGTTACATGCAAATATACAAAGATATCACAATCGAGATGTCACGAAACTGAAACTGAATCTTATCCATCAACACTACAAAATTTCACACAGCTGCAACAAAGCCATGGCCATTTCAAACCATTTTTTACACTTGCACTCCCTGTATATGCACCCAACACAGGACTCCTATGATTCACTTTCTATCAGCAATGTGAAGTAGCACTGTGGTATGCTAATGCAAAGGCTTCCTCTTAGTCGGTTTCATAACCACTTTTGCGCCGTTTTAAGTCTTTACTTGAACAGCAGTAAGACTGGCAATGCAGGAAAAGAGGCATTGCAAGAGAGCAAAACACAAGTAAGCTGCTGGATTAGCTTGTTTATCACATGACTTTTGAAGTCATGCAGAGTCCTGCATAGGAGACTGATTCAGGAGAAACACACTGCAGTCATTTTACGGCTTTTAGCAGTATCGCTGCTTCAGACAAGGAGAGGGAAGGAAATTAAGTCGACGGCTTTACTGACTTCAACGAGGCGGCCGATGTTAGCGATGTGGGGTGAGGACTCTCCAACCGTCTCGTCTTTCTCCATCTGTTTAAAAAAACGGAGAAAAAAAAAGAGATACCACGTTCAGTTAATTAATTCATCCCTATACCATGAGAGGACCAATCAGCCGTTTAGTTCAACACGCTACCTGTCTTGTAAGGCTGCCGCCGAGGTTCATGGTACCGGAGCCAGTTTTCGTTGTCTGGAGCCACAGCATGACAGTGGAGGTGAGTTTGTAGTGAGCGGTACGACCACTGGACTTCTCCTGTTTGCAAAAACAGAGGCAACAAGCAATTATGCAAAACATGACAACATGTTACCATCCAGAAAAGATAATGGTGCATGTTTGTGAAGCTCTGCTGTGCGTGTGGCACATGGAGCTGAGCGAGGAAAGACAACTACTCGAGCTGCTGTCAACCCGGTCCATTACCGTAAGTGCACTAAAAGCTTAGTTTTAACCTTAAACTCCAGACAGTCATGCAAAAGCATCTTCAATCTGGCAACAGTGTCCTGGATGCTAGAAGCTCTCCTGGCTGACAATGGTACAGCTGCTAAATATCAAACAAGCCTGTAAAATATCAAACAGCTTCATTCATCTGCTTCTCACCTGCACCTCCACCACATGAATGGAGTCCCAGCACCCTTTGATCTTCTTGGATCCATCTCCAGCCTTCTTAATGAGAATAACTCCTGCAAAGCCGTGATCCAAATCCCAGAGGTACACGGAGGAAACCCCACCTTCAAAGTACCTGAATAACACAGACATCAGATGTCACAAGAGGCTGAAACTGACAGGTTATCAAACACTCCACATTAGATTTCTTCTCTGGCACTTACAGGTCTCTGTACTGATCGAAGGCATTGTTTGCCTCAACCTCGAGTTTCCTCAGGCGGGCTGAAGGCATTGCACCGTCTTCAATGGGAGGTTCATACTTATTACTCCACGGGGATCTGAGGAATGAAACATTCAGATTTTAAACAGAGGTATATATTAAATTTAGCTGTTAGAAACATACTTGTGATACTAGTGTTTAAAAGTGAAAACAGTGACCTGCTTGAAGTGAAACCTTAAGCTTGCATTACACAAGCAAAGGTCCAAACATCAAAGGAGGTTAAGTTCACGGTCCTCATATAGGTGAAGCATAAGTTAAAGTATGAAGACATTTTTTTAAAAATTCATTTTATACTTAATTTGATCTTTCTCTCAATGCCCATGATACCGTCATGAACCTCTATCGAATGGGTTGCTGTTACATTGACTTTACATGGTGCAAATTTGTCAAATATTTTGAAAAAATTCTAATAAATCAGGTTTAATTCTTGAATTTTTATGTATTAAGCTTTAAATCTAAAACAGAGCTAAATTATGTGCTGGTTTTATTACGATTTTTTTATTAAGACAAACTGAAAAATGTGCGTTCTTGGAAACGTGGACATTTTGTTGCCTTTTAGCGTGACAGACAAAAACTGAAATTTCATTTGTTCTACCTCAGCACTATACTGATTATAACAGACACTGCCTGGCAAAAACAAAACATCAGAACCCGGAGATACCTGAGCAAATGGATAAGAGCCTTGGGAAGAGAGAGGCTCAGGGTGGCATGGGAAATAATTTTCATGTGTGGATTGGCCACCACAGAGTCCAGACTTTAACCCCACTGAGAATATTTTGGTTGTGCTAGAGACTATTTTACACAGTAGTCTGACTCTTCCACCATGATCAAAAGATCTTGGTGAAGAAATGAATGAAACTCTGGATAGAAATATATCTTCTGACATTGCTTAAGCTCAACAATCACAGCGAACTTGTGCCACCATTAAAGCTAAAGGCAGCCCAACAAAATATCCCCATTTTTACCCCACAGTCTGCAGCGTATGTTCCTTTGAGTGGGCTAAAATCCAGCTATGACCGCTACCTGTAGGAGTCGCCGTCTCGGTTGTAATCACAGAGCAGATAGTCTTTCCCCACCACTTTGTCTCGTGCGATCTTTAGGGGCTGGTCCACAGAGGAGAGGAGGTCCTCACACAGACTGGGCACCTGGATGCAAACATGGGGAGAAAAAGCTCAGTACATGACCACAGATGATTAATTACAGCAGCTGCAGAGCATCTAAACCCCTCAAACATTTCATAAAGTATGTTCCGTATGACGTGAGAGTACTCAAGAGACATGAAAGGGTGTTTTGGTAAAATTAGCCTTCCTAGAACAGATACCAGCTTGGAGAGAAGAAAAAAAAAAAATCACTGATACGTGGAGGAACAGTCTAACAAAACACAGAGGATCACGTCATGTGATCTTCTCATTGTAGATGAAAACATACTTTTAAGTTCTCATCTTTCGCTCACATTCCAGTTTCACCCCATAAGCAGAGGTTACTGAGAGGAGACGGAATAAAATATCATTGGGAAACATAATATCTGCAGGATAAGGGGGTACAAATTAGTTCTCACAGACTGACATGGAGTCCCTTTGCTATGCGTTCCTGCATCAGCGCATAGACACAAAGGAGCGCCTGTTACCCAGGCCAAAAAAAAGCCCCATACCCCTGAACAAACACACACACACACACACACACACACACACAAACACACGCACGCACACACACCTGGCAGCCTAGACTGGCTGAGACAAGCCAAACAAGGGTGGACAAAATCCAGTGGGAAGAGCATGTAGTGGTGAGGGTGGGGGGTGGTCAGAGAGGAGAAGAGGAGGCGGAAAGAGAGAGGTGATTTCAGATGATTACGTGGAAGAGTTGGCGAAGGGACTGAGCCTAAAGGTGCCTGGCAGCAGAAGTGATTGACAGCTGTGATAATAATCACTAACAACCAGCCACAGTGGTCATAGGGTAAGGAAAGAACAGATGTCCGGGTGGGTGGGGGAGAAGGGTTAAAGGTGAGAGAAGAGGAAGTTGAGCAGGTGGGGAGTCTGGCTGAAAGGGTACGGATATACCCACAAAAATAAGGTGCAATGCAAACAGAGGCACAAGTGTGATTTGATTTGTGTCCAGTTATAACCTGTCAGCTTTAGCTGAGACTGTTGTTAAAATGCGCCGAGTAACTCGACCAACTTCAAATACAGAAAACTGCAGGAGGGGAAGTAATAACTATCACACAAGCAGAAGTTTTTCCTCTTTGGTGTGGCTACTTCCACTCTGAACAAATATGATTAAACCCCTTTTTAAAATGCTGAAAATAGTATCAGTTACCCAGATAATACAGTGGTGTGCAGCAAAACTCACTTGTATAATATGAAAATAAATACCACATATAGAGATATGCAAATACTTTAAGACATGCGATTATTTGAAAGACCTTTCCCCAAATCAGACCGACTGACATTTTATGGTAGCTTGATAAAACAAATCCATAATAAATTGTTATTAACACATTACTAATACTACTATTTATATTCACCAGCCATTTTATTAGGCATAGCCTGGGTTGGACCCTCTTTTGCCTTCCGAAGTCCTTTAATACTTCGTGGCAGAGATTCAACAAGGTGCTGGAAATATATCCTCAGAGATTTTCATCCATACTGACACGACAGCAGTTGACGTGATAGGTGCTGCTTATTTCTCGTGTGTATGTCCATGATGCAAATCTCCTTTTCCACCACATCCCATAGCTGCTCTATTCTTGGACTGAGATCTGATGACTGCAGAGGCCATTTGAATACAGAGCACTCATTGTTATGTTGAAGAAACCAGTCTGAGATGATCTGAGCTCAGTTCCATGGTGTTCTATGTAGCTGGAAGCAGCCATGAGACGATGGGTAAAATGTGGTTATGAAAGGATGGACAAGGTTGGACAGGAAAAATTCTCAGTTAGGCTGTAATTTAAACAACGATCAGTTGGTACAAAGGGGCCTTAAATATGCCAAGATAAACCCCCACACTATTACACCACCACCGACAGCCTGAACTGTTGATACAATGCAGCAAGGGTCCAAGCTTTTATGTTGTTGCAGGAAGTCTGACCCTAACATCTGAATGTTGAAGCAGAAATCAACATTCTTCAGAGCAAGAAATGTTTATCTAGTCTTGTATTGTTAAACTTTGGTGAGCCTGTGTGAACTGTAGCCTCAGTTTCCTGTTCTTAGCTGACAATTAGCACCCAGTGTGGTCTTCTGCTGCTGTAGGTTTAAAAAAAACAAAAACATTACACACACCACACACACACACAAAAAAAAAATAAAATCAGAGCTCCTCTGCAAACCTTTGTTGTAATGAGTAGTTATTCAAGTTCCTAAAGCAGTCTCTTCTCTGACGACTGGAATCAACAAAGTGTCCGTGTAAATAGCTGCTTAGACAGCTGCGTTAACAGGCAGTTGTGGTGTACCTAACAAATTACTCAACCTTAGAAGTAAAAGTTATCTAAAGTTTAATAAGTGACTTGTCCATTCACGGGAAATTTTTAGACTAAATACAGAGACACTCTGGAGAAGAACAGATTTCACTCTCAGTTGTGAATCAGACAGTAACTCACCAGGTCAATGAGGTCACTGAGGTTCTTCTCGATCTGCTGAGGAGGCAGACGCCTCATCAGGTCCAGAGCACAATCCAGCTGCTGGTCATTCTGAAAAACAACCAGCAGAGACAATGGCTTACTGCACTGTAACAGGAGATCACAGTTAAAAAATGAATTCAAAACAAAATGTTTGTGCTATAGAGAATAAACAAGACACAGATTGTGTGGGGTTTTTTAACATTAAACTAACATTGGTGGTCTGCGGGCTTCTCTTGGTCACCACTGAAGAGAGCTAAGTTGTTCCACGAAACTGAAGTGAAACTGAGTGTTAAATCTATGAAAAGTGTCCACTGCAGCGACCGTCTGTGCTGCTCATGACGTAGTTTTTCATCGCCTAGATTTCTGCACTCTCTTTTCGAGCGGAGCTCTGCTGTCACTCTTCCCCCTTCTGGCCGACTTTTCAACTAATCTGACCAACGCAAAGCATCATCAGTGCCAAACTAACTGCTGGTTTCTTCAAGGACTGCATCCAAGCATGTTACGTTTCTGCATGTTGCAGATTTGGTACTGTAAGTTCACCACAGCTAACCTTTTACATTTGTTTATTTATAAGGAACCCCATTAGCTTCCACAACAGTGGTTGCTAGTCTTCCTGGGGCCCAAACCAAGTGAAGTGGGGCCCAAACTAAGTGAAAGGACATTTACAGTATTTGTCTTTTTCTGTGCCAAAAGCACAGCTACTAACAGTTAAAGAGGAAAACTTAGATTTTACAGGCAGTGCTGACTGGAAGGATCACCTGAACTCTTCCTGTAACTTGATCTCTTCCCACATACACCGAGGCAAGTTTCCAAAGAATTCCTGACATGGTCTTTGTTTTCTGGATGATACACTTTAGCAGCCTGTGTTAACCAAAGTCCGCGGGTTTGTAACACAGAATTTCTTTGAAGGAAATAAACTTAAAATAAAAAAAATTAAAAAAAAACCCAACATACTCAATCTGTCATCTTAAGATCAGCTAACACCTCTTCATGCACTGCAGATTCATCTCAATAATATATTCACGAGAATGGGTTTCTGAATGTCCAACAATGGCGTGCAGGGATGACACATTGCTCCAAAAGCAGATGCTCATGTTAAATAGGGCCAACAAATTATTCAGGGGCCAAAAGGTCAAAAGTTTCAGACAGTTTTTTTTTTTCTATTTGTAGCTGTGCATCATTAAGAAGAGAATAGCATTGTCTTAAAGCACACAGCCTCCATTCATCTGCTGTTAAATCCTTCTGTTTGTGGGGGACAGCCAATCAGAAGAAAGTGAGATGAGCCAAAACAGGTAAATGGCGAATACAAGTCTAATATTGGGGGTTGGGGGAAAAAAGCAGGTTCCATTTAATAAAGAAATGCTCTGCTGTGGTAATTAAAATGTTACTTAAAAGCACAACTTAAAAAAAATGAATCAGCTCTGCAAACTTACAGAGACTCACATTAACTGAGTAGCTGTATTACACAGAGAAGTATAAATACGCACCCTCATGCTTGAGTAAACAAAGCAACCACACTGTACCCTCATCAGTGTCTCCACCACAGCACGGTAATAAAAGTCCTGCTACATTCTGTACACGGGTACGACTGCAGTTGCCGTGCAGGAAACCCTCACACCCTTGCAGGAAAACCTTTTCCCACACTGCTAGAATACAGACACACAACTTTCCAGCTCAGTAGACTGAACATCTCTCATGATTTGTCATGTGAGCACCTTGCAGAGAGTTGTGAAAAGAAAAGCTTCATTTAGGGTTAGGGGTTATAGTTACAGCACCTCAGTGCACAAGCTTGAAAGTTATCTAGGCTGTGTGGTGGTTCAAGGGTTCGTGTTTGGTTGATTAGTTTCATGTAGGAACAAAGGAGGGGAAGCCTGGTTAAAGAATCATCATCATGGGGCAACAGGAAGTGTGGTAGGGTAGCATTTAAAGGTCAGGTCCACCCTTATCATTCGAGTCAAACTTTTACTTTAGGGTTTAGGTAAAGAGACAGTGCAGTACAGTTTTTACTTGGAATTAACTGCTTACGGGTAATTCAGTTTTTAAGACTCAGCTGTTTACAATACATCTTATGTAGGAACTTCTCCGCTTCTGCAGACTGGGATGTGTTGGGAGACCAAAGGTAAAACTAGCTGCTTGGACTGTGAATTTGGCCACAGATGAAACTTTCACACATTCAAGTTCTGGCAGGACAGAAACGTTCTAATCCAGTTCCTGCCACACACATACAGATATTCAATGACAAAATCCCTCCCCACCCACCTCCAAACGACCATTATCAACTTTGTCTGAATCACACAAGCTGACAGATTTATGCGACAATAAAATAAGGTGAACAATCGAAGCCTTGAAAATCCTGCACTGATGAAGCCGTCGTGATCAAAGGATCTTCATCTTTTCGCCTGATAAGCGTACAACTACGCTTTGCATCTACACTTCTTCCAAACTCCTAAGGTTTTCTCTTTTCCCCAACCTTGTAATTGGAACCTTTGATTAAGTACTGCAGAGTGAGCCTGCGATGCAATCAATCCCCCACCAAGCTGAGTCAGACAGATGCCTCTCATCTCTCTGTCAATCTGGCTTGTAAGACGATGGCTACAACTTCACAGTAAGGTTAAATCAATACACAGCCTAAAGGTACATTTGGTAGAATGATCAAAAACAGTGCACAGTAGCCATTATCTGCAGAACCAAAGGCACCAAAATCAATTTAGTGTCTTTACTACAGTCCGAACTGAAGTGGACTCATTTCAACTACAGTGTGAAGCAGCAGATCCAGTTGTATTAGCAATAACACATGTTGTTCCCTTTATATGTTCCTTTAAAAAAGAAAAGAAAACAATGAAACCTGAAACAGCATCTTGGTCGTGCATCAGGTTTAGGATTAGGGAAATGAAAACCACTAGTTATCTTTCACCAAGCAAACCATTCAGAACTAAATTAAGAACATGGTGATAACCACAGAGCACTGACATAACATAGCTTTTACCCCAAGGGGGTTTTCTGCCTTAACTATGCAGCGAACAGCAGGATGTTGGAGAAGAGCAGTGGATGGACCGGCCACAACATGAAACTCTGGGGAATGTGCCGGAAATTTTTTTTAAGTGTGTGATAATAAAAAGGACCAAACATGTTTTTCAAGCTTCTCCATAGAAGGTACTGCCTTTGTCGCAAACACTTCCAGCCTGGCTTTATCAGACAATGATCAATGTTTTGACTGCCACTCAGCAATCTAGCTAAACATGTTTCATAATGCCTACTTAAAATCCATTAACATATATGGATTTACTTTACAATTCCTCGATCCTGACATCCATTACAAACAAAAACGTGCTTATGATATGTGTTTGGCGGCCAGAAAACACTGAACATGAAGCGAAAGAGGCTTCTAGAGGTGAGACAATCATCACTCAAGTAAAGCCTTAAGAGAGTAAACATAATAATCCATTACTCATAGCTCCTCAATCCATCCATAAATATTTTTCCTTAAGGTCGACCCGAACGTAACAGAATTTTTTAACGCAGATTTTCCCAGGCCACTTTGTCTCCTCCGAGAGGATTTCTGCCTCGTTTCACGTTTCTCTCAACTGAAGGTTCCATCAGACACCTGTGCTTCTTGACACTGTGTTTAACAGCGCTCCTGTCTCCATGTAAACACTAGCTCAGACCAACAAGCCTCAGGGTCAGGGGGGAACGGCGAGGCTGGGCCCGGCAGGATGGATGAGGTGAGGAAGAGGAGAGTAGGCGACTGTGGAAGAAAAACAGCTGTTCTTCCCATTTTTCGAATGCTTTTATAAACAGTGTAAGACAGAGCAAGCCCATTTTACAAGTGGTCAAGTCAAGCATAATATATATATATATATATATATATATAAAATAAGCACAAATACGGGTCCAGTTAAAGCAAGCCTACTGCTATATGGGCTGAAAACGTAGGAGAATGAGCCAAAATAAGGAATAAGTAAACAGTGAGTGCTGTGTTGGTATGGATTGTTTGGACTGGGTGTAATAGCCTCCTCCAGAGAAACCATTAGCTCAGTCAAGATCAAACTTATAAGGCTGGGAAAATCAGGCTGACAGCTTGTCATGGTTAGGAATAGGAGGAGCGAGCGGTCTTATTTTAGCTACAGGCATCCCGGCGCTTGACTATTTTAGCCTGTGTGTAAGTGTATGTGCACAGGCGTGTGTGCGTGTGTCAGTGTGTTATATTAGGACCCTTCGCCATTACTATTAACCAACTTGTGTTAAATCCAAAACATCCTGTGCTAACTTTATGCCTACGGGGCATGTAGCCCGGCTAGCTATGAGCTAACTAGCAGGAAGAAACAGCAGCTAGCTTAACCACAAAGCTAATTCATTCTCATCCGGTAGTTCAGCGCAAGTTTTGCCAGCAGTGCAAGTTAAATATGCGTCGATGATTTATATCATCTGCTGCTCCTCTCCGGTTACTACCGTGCGCCTCTAGCCAGCGCTAGCTTAGCTTAGCACCCCCCTCCCTCCAGTTAGCAGCCCCGTCCCCGTCTCTCCCAGCAGCCTGAACGCGGCCCTTACCATGTCTGCGGCGGTCTCAGCTGGGCAGGAGAGAGCACGACTTCACCGATGAGTGTACACCCTAACTTTACTATGGTTTAACAGGTCGCTCCTTTTGTCTCTTGTTGCTTTGATGTTTTTTGAGAGCCGTGATGAAGATGTTTTGTTCGCGTCTCCCTCTCTGAACCCAGCCCTGTCAGCGAAATTCACTTCCTCAACCGGGCTACAGGAAGGAGGCTGCAGTCACAAAAACAGGCCCCGGTTGCATGTCCGGGTCACTCTGGCCTTTCTCTGCAGCAGCCAATAGCGAAGGAGCAAGAAAGGCATTGCCAAGTATGGAAAGAGAGGAGTGGTGTAGTAAATGTGCTGTCAGAGAGGGCAGCAGAGGGGGAGTTAAAAAATAAACCCCCAAAACACGGAGACTGCAGGCGGCGGCAAGTTTAACGTATACAGTGTCTCATGAACAAGAAAGCAGATCTTAATTTCTATTTTTCTGTGAATTATTATGAACTACTTTCTCACTTTTATTTTTGTGCAATTAATCTTCAGTGGTAAGAGCAATTTTATATGTTTTTAAATTAAGTTATATCTTTAAATATTTAATAGTAGTTATTATAAAATAAAATCACTCCTAACTTGTTTTTGTTTTCATGTCATTTGTGTTATTTTATTGCCCTTTGTTCAGTTTAATATAATCTGAATGTTCCTTCAAGTGCATGATAGTGATGGAAGTTAATATATATCTATATGTATGGTAATCGGTTAGTTATTAATGCTAAGGGCACTGCTGTAAAGGCAAGCTGATCACCTTTGATAATTATTACTTGTAATACTGAGAGTTACCGTACTATGCAGAAGTCTCGAGCCACCCATAATTTCTCTATATTTTGCTGGGAAAATTAAAAATATATGCAGCTATTCATTGAAACAGAGTTTCAGCTTATATACTGATACAGTATATAAGGCAAAAACTGAGTTTGTGCTCTTCTGACGAGCTTGAAAGTCAATATTTGGTATGATCAACTTTATATTTCAGCACAGTCTGAACTCTCTTAGGCAAGCTTTCTTGTTATTTCTTTAAGCAGTCTTCAGGAATAGTTCTCGGGGCTTCTTGAAGGACATTCAACTCAGTGTGTTTGGAGTAATTGTCATACAGAAAAGTTGAGCCGTTGTCAATCAATGCTTTCCAGATGGTATTACATAGTGGATCAATATCTCATAGTGCTTTTCTGTGTTCATAATTGAATCAATTTTGATTAAATCACTGGCTTAAATACAGCTCGAAACAATGACAGAGCCTCGTGTTTTACAGATAGCTATAGACACTCAATGTTGTACCTCTTGCCGGACCCCCCCTGTATATACTCACAACAGCCTGAACCCAAAATTTCAAATTTGGATTTATCACCCCTTCAGACCTACTGCCACTGATTTTCAGTCCAGTTCTTGTATAATTAGTCATACTGCAACCCTTTGTCCCTGTTTCCCTTCCTTAAGACTGACTTCTTGACAGCCACGCTTCCACTAAGACCATTTCTGATGAGGCTTCAGTGAACAGTAGATGGATCCAGTGAAGGGCCAGTCGCATCGCTCTTATTTCTTTTTTGTTTTTGTTTCTTTATTTACAGGCCATTTATGTGTGACAAGCTGCTAGCAACAAAGTGCCTAAAGATGTAATTTAAAATCAGTACTTTGCTAAGTTGTCTGTTGTCTGTAGACACAATACTGGTTCGTCCCAGTGTTGTGTCTTCGGAATCATTCAAGCATAAGAGTCCTTCCCTTATGCTTGAATGATTCATAGGTCAGTGATAAGTGGCTTAACAAAGAAAATAAACATCACCCTGAAAAAACTAGACTGAAAATGAAAGACCTTCAGAAAGCCTGGAGAGCTATTGGTCAAGAACACTTTAAAAAATGTATAAGAAAGTCTGTGTCTCCAAGGAAACAAAATATAAAGAAACCGGGAGTGGGTCAAGACGTTTGCGTATAATGACATTATGCCAACTAGGTTCTCCCCCTAGAAAGAAGCTGCGTACATCCTATTTTGTTTGCAAATTAGAAACCTGCCTGCAAACTTCACTAACATCTGTATATTACTGAGTGTTTGGAACAGCTCCACTTCCAGCATAAACAATCAGTGTTACACACAGGGTGTTTCTGAGAAAATAAAATAAGAAAAAAGGCTAAATTCTTACTTAACACATAGCATATTTAATCACACGGACAACCAATTTCAGTGGCAACTTTGTTTATAATTTTTAATTGTGGTTGCATTAAACTGAAAACCCTGGCCTGCACACATCTGATGTGCAACACTTTGTGAATGCATGCAGAATTTCCTCCACACATATGCGTTTGGGCGAGATGACTAATCAACTAATCAAAGTGGAAGTTTTAAGGTAAGGTCAAATATAACCCAGAAAAAATGTCTTCATCATTTACAGATGTCTCAGTGATTACTCAGAGGTTAATAATTTGGACTGGTTACATCATAGCAAATATGCTGCAACATGAAGCCAGATACAAACTCTTAGTAACTTTTTCTCAAATACAGTGTTTGTGTCTAACTGAATGATTAAGAAATCAAAAAGTCAAAGGTCAAATGTAGTTATATAGCACTTTTGAAACAACAGAGCTGATCAAAGTGCTGCACTTTAATAGTATATAGTATTTATATAGATAAACTACAATAATATCCATAAAATTTGAGCACAATACCCAACATTAAAAGACAATAGAATAAAAAATAATAATAAATTGCATTTGACTAAAAGAATGTCACACTGGAGCCCAACGCCAAGGAGAACAAATGCATTTCTAATAACAACTTAAATGTGTTTACTGTCTGAGCTGTGTGGATTTTGAGAGGTATTGTATAGACCTGGTGCTGTTGTTGCAAAAGCTCGATCACCTCTCTGTTTTAAGTTTGCATAGGAGGAACTGGTTAGACGACGTCTGAGCTCTTATAATTGTGTGAATGTGAAGCAGTTCTGACAGATACAAAGATGCCAGTCCATTTAAAGCTTTAAATGTAAGTAATAAAATATAAAAATCAATTCCAATGAAGGGAGCCAATGAAGAAATGGCAGGCCCAGTGTGCTGGGTTCAAGTATTTTAATACCAGTATAAGGCGAGCTGGTGAATTCTGGACTAACTGAAGGATATATGATTGTTGTATACCAAAGTCCAGGGAATTACAGTAGTCCAGGTGGGAAGTGATTAAAAAGCATGAATAACTTTTTCCAGGTCCTTCTGTGGGAGATAAGGCTTTACCTCAGGCATGAAGCTAACTTTAGTGACAGCCCTTAATGTAGATCAATTAATAAAACAAAACAAAAACCACGCCAAGTAATTACAATTTAAAGTTGTAATTTTAATTTCATAAAAGCTAAAAAGAAGAAAACGCATGAAAAGATAAAGGAAAGTGAATAGCAAAAGCCGGAATACTGACGTGTTATTACCGGACAACATATACACTGAAGGAGCCGTGAAGGAATGAGTCATGTGACTTCATGCTTTTCTCGCGAGATCTTCCTGACTGCAGAAAACATGGCAGACGAACACGCACGGAAGTGGGACCGCTGCCTTGCTGACACAGCGGTGAAAACAGGTTAATTTCTTTTTATACACGCAGTGTAATTGTTTGCTGCTCTTATTAAACACTTGGCTGTGTGTGAAACCTGAAGAATAAGGCGCACTACAGGTCAGAGCCGAGCGAGAAGTCATTTTAGCTGGACCTTAGTGTGACACTAAGGTCAAAGTTGTCTGCTGTACAGATGAAACTTAATATTTGTTAACTCTGTAGTATTATATCATAAAAAAGCAGACATAGCCACGAGGTGGAAGTTATTACCTGTGTTTGAGTGGGAAAGTGTGCGAAGTCACGCCCTAAAGCAGATTAATTTATCTGTTTTTGGACTCTCTTGATCTACCTGCCCTTTCTCCACTACTTGCAGCCTTAATCAGTATCTTACAGGGATTATAAGGACCGAATAATTTATTTTAGTTATAAAACCAAACAATGTCTGCAGTTGCAGAAGGGATATACAAACTAATAAAAACTAATAAAAATATGTTTTAAATGAGAAAACTATGAGAAACTAAAACAACCTAAAACAATTCTGCGAACCTGGAAAATAACTAACTAAAATAAAATAAAACAAAAATGAAGCGGCATTATCCTTATTTATATTATTTGTTAGTTTAATTAAACAAAACTTCTCACAGCTTTCCTGACGAGGCTTTGATGGATCCGTTTATTGAGACTGGGTGTCTACAACACTGTCAGTCAACAGCTTACAGAAAGTGTATTTTTTTATGTAATTCCTGCACTGATTTTCCGCTATACACTAATAATTTTTTTTTAAAGTTAAATTAAAAAATAACAGGAAAAATAATAAAAACAAAACTAAAATTAAACATGAACAACAGAAAGTAAACTGACACAAGAAAACCTGCTCTGGAAACTGAGAGTAAACTTAAAGAAAAAACAAAAGGACATTTTTAAAAAAGAACCTGTTAAAATACCAAGTTTTTTTATGGTCATTCTGTCAGATAACAACCAAATAACAATTTTATTTGGTTTATTTGGTTTTGTAAATGCTAGTTAACAATCTATCAGTGTCTTTTTTTTCACACCTTAAATATCTATTTATATGACAATAACATAGTTGTTTATCACAGTTAATCTAAGTACAGGTTTATGACATCAGTGTCTGTATACAAACATTTAAAGTTGTAATCTGTAGGGAGCAAATAACATTTATTTTTTGTATATACGTTTGATATAAATCTTAATATGAACACCTCATTTCTTTGCCTCTGTGTTTTTTGCATGTACACCTGGTTTATTGCACTGCTGTTTTTTGTTGTTGTTGTTTTTATTTTTCCGTTGTGGAGGTCAGGCTATATGGGCTCTGTTCTATTTATTTATTTTTTAATTTATTTTCTCCGCTGCTTTGCTAAGACTACTGTAATCTGCGGTTTACGTCAGACTCGCTGAAAAGAAGAGGTGTAGTCAGGTGACCTTTGAACTAGTTTTACTGGTTTTTATTCATTTTTTGAACTTGAATCTTTATTCACACCAGGCATTCATTTGGCAGTTAAAGTTTACGCAAAAACCAAAAACAGATGTTTTAAGAATTTCATATTAGTAGTGTAAAGATGTTTGTAAAGATTTTTTTTTTCATTTTTCTTTTTTTGAACAAAAAAAAATGTTGGCATGCAGTTCAGAGTAAAAAGGGGGAAAAGTCTCATTTTTAGTTCACTGTTTTGCGAGCTAATTGTTAAAACAATTTTATGT